GTCTTGACTGCCGGAGAAAGATTATAGGAAGAAAACCAGGCCCAGGATTCGTGCCCATTTTGGTGACTCATGTTTCGGCAAGTTGAATACTTCATCAAGAAGGCGTTCATAAGTTATCCTGAAGTAGTAGCTACATAGAAGGACTCTTCTGATTGGAAGGATTACACGTCAAGGCCAAGTTTCTCTCTCCAAAACCCATAATCCAAGACCTATATAAAGGTCTCTAGGGTTTAGAACTCGGTAGCTAGTGATAGGAGGCAGTTAGAGGGCTGTTACTCTGCCAACATGGTAACTCTCCCTACTTAGAGCAAAACTAGTTACGATGGAGGAATCGGCACCCTAAGGCCCAATTGCCCTATTGTCGTCGCCAATTCTAGTGGTTCTCTAGTGACTTCATTTCAATCGATGAATCATGATCCAACCAGAACAAAATTACTCAATGGAACAATATATTTCTACTATTCGTATATGACTACATATGAATGATGTGGTTATTATTTCCAGAGAAGAAGTCAGGAGCTTTTTCCAAATTCCTTCAATTCCAAGCAGTAGCTAAGAAGGAAAGCGAACATAAGATCAAAACTATTCGAACAAATTTAGGAGGAGAATTTATTTATAATCCATTCATAGAGTATTGCCGTAACAATGAAATCAACAGGTTCCGCAACCAAAGTAGTCCAAATCCATATTTAAATCCTAAAATCCTATGATTTTACTTACTTGTTTCAATCCTGATTTTACTATAAAATATATGGACCTTACTACACTATTCACTATTTAAATCCTTAAAACATTTAAAATTGTACAATTTTATGATTCAAATCTTTGGGTCAATTTCACATATTTTCCCCAGAATTTGCAAACTTACGCCTCTTTTTATTTTGCTCCACCAACATCATCTAGTTCTCTCACACTAACCACCATCGACCATCATTAATTAACATCAAAGTATTAATCATCATCGATTCACCACTTTCCAACATTAACTTTGATAAATTGGAACATTAACCTTGAGAAATTGTCATTGTAAGTGTTATGTGTTTTTGTGTTATTCATGATTTTCCTTATTAATATTATTCCACCTTTAGTTTCATATGGACCTAAAATCGTACAATTTTACGATTCAATTTTATGATTTCGATTTTACTCCCATTTTTATTTTAGGACTAATTCTATTAGGAAGCCCAAACTATCCTAAAAGTGTCATTTGTGTACTAAACTATTCAATATGACAAATCTGGCACAAACTATATGCGTTTTGTGACATTTGTATCCTAAACTTATTCAATATGATAAATCTCGCACAAACCACATATATGCTGACTAGATTTTCTGATAAATACTAATGGTCTACGCTGGTCAACATTAACGAAAAATAGTTTGTGCCAGATTTGTCATATTGAATAGTTTAGTACACAAATGACACTTTTTGAATATTTGGGCTTTCTAGTGAAATTAGCCCTTTATTTAAGTAAAATCCAGATTTTGACTACTATGGCCGCAACAATGGAATCAAAAGGCAGCTAATGGTCCGTTACACAGTAGAACAAAATGACATGGCATAACGGAAAACCCGCACGATTATGGAGATGACAAGAAGCATTCTCAATGGAAAAAGCTTCCCAACAACTTGTGGGAAGAAGCAGTCAATAAAAAATTTACGTCCTCACTAGATCACCAACCAAAGCAGTTCATAACAAGGCATAGATACATGCGTGGCACCACATGAGGCCATAGATGGAACCTCAAAGTATTTGGGTGCATAGCTTATGCACATATCTATACCCCAAACCGAGACAAGTTTGACCAGAAGGGAGATAAGTTGATCTTCATTGACTATAGTGAAGAATCCAAAGGCTATTAACTTTATAACCCAGTAACGAACGAAGTGGGGGTTTCTAGAGATGTGATCTTTGATGAGATGGCGAAATGGAACTGGGAACATCCAATTTCTCGATCTCCACCAAGTTATGAAATTTTGGACGATTCAGCAACTCCAAAAGACAACACCAACCAACTCGATCTAGTTGCAAGTCCAGAAAGGAACTCAACAAGTGATCCATAAGGAGACGAGTTTAGAGACGTCGTAAGATACTAGGATTCACCTCTGAACAAGGTCTTTGAGAAAAATTTATGAAAGAAGTCATGTTGCATATTTTTCTTGTGAACCTCAAGTCTTTGAAGAAGCAGCCAACGAAAAAGTATGGACCAAGGCAATGGATGTGTCCATGATCGAGAAAAATAAGATGTGGGAGCTTGTTGATCAATCGCAGGAGAAACCGGTCATAGGTTTCAAATGGATATATAAGACCAAATTTAATGAAGATGACTCTATCCAGAAGCACAAAGCAAGAATGGTGGCGAAAGGCTATTCACAAAAGCCTTCACGATACATATGCAATAGTATAGAGGACGGAGATCATCAGAACAGTTCTCGCGCTAACAACACAAATGGAGCTACCAGTATACGAACTACATGTCAAATCAACATTTTTGAAGGGAGAAATTGAAGAAGAAGTCTATGTGGAACAACCACAATGCTATGAGAATAGAGGAGAAGAAGAAAGTCTATCATCTCCGAAAGACTTTATACGGGCTAAAGCAAGCACCAAGAGTCTGGAACATCATAATTGAAATGGATTTCAAATAAGTTTGAGGGAAGCATCTCTCTACATAAAATGAGAGAAGACAAACATTTTCTCATTGTGGGTTTATATGTGGTTAACTTGATTTACACAAACACAAGTCAACAAATGATTGGAGATTTCAAAAGTACTATGATGAAATAATTCAAGATGATGGATTTGAGACTAATGAAGTATTTTCTAGGGATCCAAGTGAAGCAAGTAGACTTTCACCTGGAGAAATTTTCATTTCACAGGGGAAGTACACTGAAGATGTGTTGAAAGATTTCATATGGCAACATGCAAATCAGTCGCAACTAATGGAATTGAATGAGAAGTTGCTAAACAATGATGAAAAGCTGTACAGAAGTCTTGCTAGGTAACTCATTTAACTGAAACATACCAGATCAGATATATGTCATTCAATAAGTCTTGAATCAAGATTTATGAATAAACCTAGCAAACTTCACTTTGTAGGAGCCAAAATAATTTTGTACTAGCTTCAAGGAACGAAGAAATTGGGCCTAACGTATAAGAAATAAGCATAAAGCAAGCTGATTGGGTTTGCCGATAGTGACTAGTCAACATGGCAGGATTAATAGATGATCCAAATTAACACATCGAGATACATATTATGTTTGGGTTCAAAATCCATATTTTGGAGTTAAAAGAAGCAGAAGACTCTGGTTGTATCTTCAGCTAAAGTAGAATATATCACATCTACAGATGCATAATGATAAACAGTATGGATAAATATATCAATTTATGATTTGCAGCAAAGTGAAGATAGTTCAAAAATTATTCACCATGACAACATGTCATCCATAGCCATGACAAAAAATTCATTGTTTCACGCAAAATCAAGCATATCGAGTTGCATCATCATTTCATCTGAAACCTCATTGACGAAGGACTAATCATGATGGTATTCATCAACATCGATAATTAGCCAGTAGATATCTTGACAAAGGCAACCACCCCTGAGAAGTTAGAGAAGTTTAAGGAGCTACTTCAAATTTCAAATTAAGAGGGGGTGTTAAAATATAATTTGCAATAATGAAATTTATCTACCACTACAATCACATCAAAGGAACAATTCGAGCATGAATAGCTTACTTGTATAACCTGGATTTATCTTCACCTTTTCTCAATGGATGAAGGGTTTACTTGTAGAGCATGGCTCTCCAGAGTCTTCAGAGAAGCATCCAAGGAGTAGCTTGTAAGACTTTGTCCAATGTTGTGGCTTATCTGGAAAGAACCAAACATTGTAGGACTGGGAAATCTTTCCAGAAGCTTATAATTTCTTGTAGGGGTAAAATATAAGATATTATGGTTGGAAGAATCCTCCCATTGAAGTTTTCAAACTCAACAATGATGCAAGTGTAAATAGAAAAGGAAACTCCATTCTTGGTTGTGTTATTAGTGACTTGAACATAAAGGTGTGTTTGGCTGCGAACATGAGTGAAATTGAAATATTGTCTCCTATGATCATTGAAGGTAGGAAAATTCTGTACATCCTTACTAAAACTCGGGAGAAAGGAATAAGCCAGCTGGTTATCGAGTATGATTATTGCAAGAAGTTTCTTGATGGCATTCAACATTTTAGTGAGTACATAACTTAGTTTTGAAGTACCTAGAGTGATATTGCTGCTCTTGGAAAGCTTTTGGATTTTCAAAGCCCGTTCTTCTCCTACCATGATTCAAACTGCACAGCTCATGCCATTACTCACCTTATCCCTCATGATTCGTATGAAGTTACTAGATTGATGGTTTACATTGCTTTATGAGTAATGTAATCGCCCAAGAGGTTGTTATTTGATCGTTTAATTAATGAAATCTTTCTAATTTAAGTAAAAAATGCCAAAAATATCCATGAGCTAAACTCGCCCAACTCGATTAGCATGCGTATTGATAATATGTAAGTAAGTACTTGTTGGTCCTCCAATCGTGCGTTTCACTGGTAGGGGCATAGTTAGGGTTTGAGTATTTAAGCTAATATTTTCCCCGTATTATCAAAGAAACCAGAAAATACAAAAAATACCAATATTAAGAAAAGTATTTGATAATAATAATAATTATTATCACTCAATATGGTATTTGAGAAAATTGAATTTAATCAAATATTGGATTTTCCGTGTTATTTTGATTATAAATGAGTTGACCGCCAACAAAAATTTGTAACACACAATGCATAAGGTGTTTTTCACTGTTTACATAAGTAAAGAAGAATCTTGCTATAAAGAATTTAATCATTATATAGCAAAAATTATTATTAAAATTTTGAAATAAAACATTAAAGAATTTAATTAATGTAAGTCAAAGACTAAAAACTCTTAAGAAATTAAAATATAAAATTTAGATGTCTAAATTAAACATTTATGTCAATGAAAACTAAAAATAATTAAGAAACAAAATTTGAAATATTTTTCAAAGGGACCTTTCTGATTGCTACTGTTTTGTCTCGCCCATCTTGAGGATGACAGAGTATCTTGTATGGGCGACAGTTATTAGTGAAGGGGCTACGGTGACAGATTGGTAATGGGCGGACAACTTCAACGCTACACTCAAATTGGGTTACTCAGCTACACCCCCATACCCCTATGCATAATCCCCAGGTGTTACAACAGGCTGGAGATCTGAAGGCGGCAGGGGTGATTTTCCAAAGGAGAGGGGCGATGGTGTGACATCAAACTCAGCCAGTGGTTTGACTCGGCTACTTGTCCTGCCATCAAAGCAATCCCTCTTCCTCGCGAGGATAGGCTAATCTGGTATGATACGTGTGCTGATATTTTCATTGTAAAATCTGCCTATCATCTAGCAGTTTTGCTAGATAAGCAGGTTGGTCGGTGGCGATCCACGGCTAGTTGGATGGATATGTCAAGTTGGATATGTTATGTGGGGAGCCCATATTCAACCCAAACTTAAAGTGTTTTTATGCAAAATATTCCAATGGATCCTCCTAACGACGGAAGCCCTAATTGAGAAGGAAGTTCAAGTGCTTAGCAGGTGTCCGATTTGTTGGGGCAGAATTGGAAACAATGGACATTTGTATCTTGATTTCCCTATGGCAAGGGTAATATGAGATCATTCTAGTCTCGAATATCAAGGTTTGCTCTTCACACATTTTCGCTCTTCCTTAACAAGCTGATGTTACTTATACATCAACCTCAACTGTTTATGGCGGTTATCGCGGTCCTTTGGAGGATCTAGCGGTCACAAACGGGGTTGTCTTTGTGGGCAAACAATTTGGGATTCCAACTTTGATGCGACAATTTCACCAAAAATATCAGTAGTGGATTAGGTTGTCTGTTGACCGTGTTGTGCAGTTGTCCATCCCACAAGCGAGTTACTTGAGTGGCGGGAACCCTACTTCAGTTATCTACATGTGAGGTGGGGTGACAAAGAGTGTGTCCCATTTAGCAGGAGGAATGATTATGATCAAGAACCAAGAAGAGATTGTCATTTTGGCGAAAGGGATGCAATTTGTTGAAATTGATGATCCTATGGTAGTCGAGATCCTTGTTATCCGGGAGGCTATTTTGTGGTGTCTGGAGAATGGGTTTGCGGAGATGCCAAAGTGATCATTGATAAAATAAATTAGGCAGATACCCGGGTCAATTGGACAGAGGCCATCCTTGAGGAAATCTTGCGTCGTTAGACTATTCACACTGGGCTTAATTTGGGATTTGTAGGTCGGAAAAGTAATATGGTAGACCATTTGGTTGCTAGAAAGACCCTTTCATTGTAGTCGACTACATTTTGTTTCTTTAATTTTCTGGTATAGCTAAATTCCAGTATGCAATGATCTACCGTTACAATCAATACATATGTTTATCTTTTGTAAAAAAAAAAACCTAGGTTTGCAAAGATTAGTATACCATTCTTTTCACTACACTACTTATACACTTCATTACTTTTTTCGCACAAATACTTATTTTTATAAATCACCTCCCATTAATAATGAATAGGACCATGTAAAAATTGAAGAAAATGGTACTCCTCCTTGACGTTTCCGTGGGGGAGCGACTTAAGTAACTGCTCCAAAATTCCTTCTTCCTTTCCTCAGGGTCCTGTATTTTTGCCTTGCTGCACTTGTTTGCTGACCAGCAACCTGCAACCGTTTTCTCCTTTCCTTTTCTTTTTCTTGCTCCGTGTACCAAGTTCAGCTCTGCTGAACTACGAACTTTGCTTTTTGGTTCCCGTCCTCTTATTTAATATTATCATCCTTATATAAAAAAAATTCTTTCGCCGCCGCTCAGCAACTATCCCCCTTCCCTGGTGGTGATTGAGTTTGTTTTCCTTCAACACCAAATCCTTCTCCAGTTGGTTGCATTCTTTTTTGTTTGGTACAGGATAAAGCAACAAAGATGACGATTGTAGGAGGCCATCGGTTATAGGGGTGGTGGATTGTTGCAGGGGAGCGGTTATAAGGGTCCTTGATTTCCTTATTTTGGCGACAGATAATCCAGCAGTGAGGGTGAAGGGCACGATAAGGCCGTTGGCAACACCGATTGCTTTCAAGGAAGACGATTGCTTTCTCTTGGCCTTTATATATGCTTATTGGGAAGTGCCTCTGCCGCTTGACGACGATGTCGGCCAAGGCCACGATGGTCTATTTCCCGGTCAACATGATGGTGGACGACACCGACAGTTGGATCTCCGGCACTAATGTCCTGACGTTGATGCAGTTTGCTGCCCACCGCTTTCATGCGTCGCCGATCCTGGCTTTACCGCCACACATTAAATCTTTTTCCAGATATTCTTCCTATCTTTTGCAGGGGCATAAAGGAGTTTTCCGATGGAAGGCGAGTCTTTTCGGTGACAACGATACTCTTGAGTGGCGGTTTCATTCTTGCGTAGTTACTTCTCTCACAATTCCATACGTGGGCAAGCATGTTTTCCGATCCTTTCTATTTCTTAATTTTATTTTTAACCATGTTTTTTTGGAAAATTGGTCGATCTTTATAGTATTTTCTTTTACTTCAACTTGCGTGGATGACATGTACAACTAGTTTTTTTTTAATAATTGAATTTCTTTTCACATGTGGACTTGCCTCAACCATTTGGGAGCGGATTGCTATATGAGTAGTGCTATTAAGTTTTAGTATGTCACATCTACTTGTGTTTGATATACCATATAATGGTGCCTAATCAATTTGTTTGCTTTGCTATGTTTTGTGAGGTACTCAATGGTGGAACTCTGATTTGGAATGTTCGAGAGAAGGATGCTGCACATTATTTTTGCCTGTTTGGTGGCACAATTCCTAGAGGAGATTCGTGTGGCGATCTCTTCTTTCTCTTTCTGTATTTGTTCTTTTACTCTCTGTATGTATTACAGGGCTGCCCGTTAGTAGCTCAAAAGGCCCTTTCATCGGCAATTCGACTATTTGTCGAATGCCGCGTTTGGTTGTGTGCTGTTTTCTGATTATTTATTTTACCCTATCTATATGGAAAGAAAAGGGGGGAAAAAAAAATGAATGTCCCTACGAATTGTATTGCAGCTGCACATATTCTCATTGCTAATGACAATTTTGTTGCAATGTGCCCCGAATGCCTATAGCACAATCCTGCGACGACCTAATCAACGACTTACCCAAAATCCCTTGTCAACATCACAACCCAAATTAAGTCAAACCAAACCGAAGTAAGAGTGCGGCGTGGCTGGCTTCTATTACTCAGCTTGGGTGGGGAGTGTGAATCACGGTGGGTAATGCCGTGGAATGCCACAACCTGGAAATGGGTATGTGAGTCGGAGATGCCAACAAAACCAAAGCCCTCCATTTGCTTTGTCTTTTGTTAGGTTTTATAAACCGCAACCCACCCAACTTCTTAAACAAATCCCTCACGTCTAAGAGTTTGTTGTGCATGCACACACAAATTCCGTGACTGTTGACATCACGACCTAACTCCCCACTTCCACAAAACACACAATACTATATATATACTAATCCCTCCATTAATACGACTGTGTTTCCTCCCATTTCCGCCATTAAAATAATCAAGGTGCTCTGTGCTCTGTTTCTGTGTGTATATATATATATACGAGTGCTTGCTAGTTGGAGGCAATTAATTGTCAACCACAAGCTTTTGCCCTGCTAAGATTTTGTTCCAGGGAAAAGAAATAGATCGATGGAGGAATCGAATTCAAGGACGAGCCTACATGAAATGGAGACCTTGCTGGTCCCGTTGAGTGTTTTCGTAATGGTCGGTTATCACGCCTATCTTTGGCACTACGTCAAGACCAAACCTTTCCTCACCACACAGGGAACCCACGCTATGATGAGGAAGCAATGGCTGCTCGCCATCAAACAGGTGATTAATTACCATTTCCAATCTTCTTCCTTTAACCGATTCAGTAATTAATTACGATTTTCGAGAAGCTGACGTGTCAATTGAATTTGGAAAGCAGGGGGACGAGAAGAAGGAAATGCTGGCGGTACAGAGCCTGAGGAACGGGCAGATGGCGACGATACTATGCGGCACGGTGGCTATCATGATCAACGTGGCGCTGCCGGCTCTCGCCAACAACACATACACCACGGGGCGACACATGTCCCTGATGCGGTCCCCGCTCTTCGGGTCCCACCAGTCCGGCGGGATAACGGTGCTCAAGTACGGCTCGGCGTCGGTGTGCCTGCTGGCCAGCTTCCTCTGCAGCTCCATGGGGCTCGGCTTCCTTATGGACGCCAATTTCCTGTTGGTCAACGCCGCCGGGAACTATCGCTCCGGCTGCGGCGGGGGTGATGACGGCGAGGAGGAGGAGGTGATGGTGAGGTGGGCGGCGGCGGATCACACGGAGAGGTTGGTGGAGAGAGGGTTCAAGTTGGGAATATTGGGGAACAGGGTGCTCTGTATCAGCTTGCCGCTGCTGGCGTGGTTGTTGGGTCCGGTGGCGATGGCGGTGTCGACCCTGGCGCTGGTCTGGATCCTTTATTGCCTTGATTTTCGATCCCAGATGAGGTAGAAGAAGAGTGTGGCTGGTTATCAATTGAAAGATTCTTAAATTCCCAAAATTTGATGGATGCTTCCGCCACATGAATGTAAAAAAGACGGAACCGCTTTCCTTGAATTCTTAGTTCCTTGTCGTGGGTGTTGGTTTTTTGGTGGTTGGCACGAGAATCCTAATTGTCCAGATTAATTAACAGCCAATGGGGAATCGGGATCCAATTGGGAAATTAGTTTTTTTTTTGCCATTCAACCGATCTCAAATGAGATGGAGATAATATCCACACACCGACAATTATAAACTACGTAATCAGGACACAAAGTCCAGCCTCGACAGGACCCGAGGCGACAAACTCAGGGACTTTTTGGCCACTAAATGAGCCTCCTTGTTCCTCTGACGACCTACGAAACGCAGATCACAATTTCCCCCAAAACCAGCCAACAAAGCTTTGATCTCACGCAAAATTGCGCCAACCTTAGAATCATTGAAATCCCCAACCAAACATTTATCCAAGATAACCTTCGCATCGCCTGTAATTAGAAGCGATGTGAGGTGTCTGGTACTGCATTCCTTGAGATAATCACGAAGAGCCAGGGTCTCCAAAACATGCACATCTTTGATCCCTGCATAAATGGTTGCCGCAGCTGCAATTGGAAACATCATCCCTACATCAGACGAACCGTCCCCAATCACAAACGCTGCTGCACCTGCATCCCCCCTCCCCGTTGCGCCGTCGAAAGATGCATGGAATTGATGGTCATCATGCGGAATCGCTGAACCTGAAGGAGCAAACGATCAAGGCGGGATTGACGGGGAAAGATATGTGGACAAGAAGGCAGACTCAATTTCATTCACCTGATGACGCCACTCCGTCGCCCTTGACTCCAAGCAGACTTGTAGCTGATCAAAAAGAACCATACACCTGTTCTTCCAAATACGCCAAACATGGCTATAACTTGCAGGTTAAAGTAAGAATTAATCATATAAAGCCCAAGAGAACACAACTCGGGTACCGGAAAGCCTATTGTATCCGCTCGATAAGGCCCACGAGCTCAATCCGGAGATAACCATAGAGCTTATGGCCCATGAGTGAGTGCATTTAACTCCAAGAGTAGCGACCCCACACAATACACATGGGCTGAGCTATAGGGCGCTTCCATGTCACCTAGGGGATTTATTAAACCTCAAATTTGGTTCTATTCGTTTAGTAATACGCGCATATATAAACTTTCCATTGTTTTTTTTTTCATTTGTAATAGATAGGATATTACTGTTGGAAAATAAAAAGCGGTAGTCAATAGAGCTGTCAAAATTGAAGCCGACCCGACTAACCCGCCCAACCAACCCGACCCACAACCCGTCCGTAACCCGATTTGACAAAAAGTCAACCACTCGAAGCCCGCCCGTAACCCGAAACCAATTGACCCGTAATGCGATCAACCCATAACTCGATGAACTCGTTATCCGATTCAACCCATAACCTGACCTAGCTATAACCCGAATGATTCATAACCCAAATAACCCATAATCGAACCGAACCCAACTCGAATAACCTGAATAACCCATTTGACCCGAATGCTTGTACAAAAATTTAATGTATACATTATTATATTTTTAAATTTACCAAGAAAGAACTTTTGTTCTCATAATAATTGAAAATTATTAGTAGAATTGATGGTATAAATTTAGGTTTTTTCTTAAATATTTAATTTTTAAAATAATAATAAGTGGAATATCTTTTCATTCATTTTTTATTTTATGAAATTCAAAGGATAAATTTTTGAAGATAATATGAAGAGTTAGACACAAATTCGTATCTCCACCACTCATAACTATATTAAAAAAATCAACTCTTGAAAATCAATGAAATCGCCAAAATCAATGAAATCAATGACCCCTATCAAGATATATAAGTGGATAGTTTACTCTTTTTACTTCATTCTCAACTTTTTACTGATTTTATTTATTTTTTATAAATTAATAAATCAACGATTCGAACTAGATGATAATATCATATTTGAGAAAACCGTTGTTCGACCCATGAGTTTTAGGATGAGATGTTACTGTGAATATATAAAAAATTGTGAAGATATATAAGTGGGTGATTCTTAATGATGTTCATAAGTCTTCGTGGAAATGAAGAGACACACATCTAGTTCATACTATATTTAATTAAGACGATTCATTTAAAGATGTATAAGCATATAGTCTACCTTTTTTACTTCATTCTCAAATTTTTACTGATTCAATTTTTTTATAAATTAATAAAATAAGTGAAGTTACAATCTCTCACCATAAACAAAAGAATTATAACCAACAACAAAGCTTTTATATACACTATTTTATTTATATTTAGTTTTTACACTAACATAATGGATATTTTATTTGTATGTGTAAATTATTATCATATTATCATTTTTTTTAAATTTTGTATCATTACCTACAATTTATATTCATATTGATAGTTTGTAAAACATTATTTTCTGTCAAGAAGTAAATGATCCAATGGGTTGACCCGAATAACCCATAATCCGACATGATCGAACCCGAATTAACCGACAATCCAATAGACCCGTAATTTGATGCACTCGTAACCCGACTGGATCTGTAACCCAATTGACCAGTGACCTGATTGACTCGTAACCCAATTGACATGCAACCCAATTAAACCCGATCCAAATTAAAACCGACCAGATTGAATTTGCAACCCGATTGAACCCAACCCGGTTAGACCCAATCCGTACCCGACCCAACCTGCGCAATTGACACCTCTAGTAGTCAACCAAAAGGGTTGCTACCAATACAAGGGCCATTTATACCATGTGATGGGCAACCCTGTTAGTATGCCTAGTAAATAAATAAACGCAAAGAAAGTCTTCTTTTGATAAACTTCTTGAAGCAAATATCCGTCGAATATAAACATCACATCTTCTATAAGCCGAGTTCCAATAGCCTAGCAGTAGATTTGATGTGCAAACTACCTGCAAAATAACACACAAACGACCCCTAACGGGACAAAACAAAATTGAAATACCATCGCATCTCCACCGAAAATGCTCCACAAGCTATAGAAACTATCCATCTGCAACAAAAAAAAAAACAAACAAATATGGCAAAACAAACTAGTAGGGGAAATATACTCCGTGTTCGACGACAAGCAAATCTTCACTATCATTAAGAGATACAGAATACAAAACCATTGCAACTCCCATCAAAAATACCAAACACAAGTGTAAACATAATAACAATTAAATATAAAATAAAGAAAGATTTAATAGACTTAGCTGAACATAGGTTAGAATCCCTGTTTGGAATTGTGACTGCAGATCCATTATTAGAATTTTAGCCACCATGAAATTATAATCGTACGAAGATCGGAGCGTTCTGACCAAGAGTGAAACCACGGGAGAGGTAACTGCACAAAGATGTAACAACATCCACTAGCCTGGCCGTTCATCGGAAAGACTCGCCACCCGTTGGAAAGACTCACCAAAGGTCTTAGCCCACAAGCTCCTTTGAAGCCCCTCCAAAAAAGGCAAAACTCACTGGAAATGGTGTCAGAGATGGGAAAACGCCATGGGTGGTGACGCACGAGGACGTTGGGCAGCAAACTGCAAGTGTGCACGGTTACGGGAAAATAGTGAGAAAATTGAAATCTGTCGAGCTCGATCCTTCTGTCGGAAATCATCATGAGTGCGTGGACTTCTTATCTGACATGGGATTAGCAGTAGAACTTCCCCCCAGAAGTGTAACCGTCATAGTTGTATCTGCTTCTTGAATTATAACCTTCGTAGTTCAACCAACTGTATTGTTGCGCCTCAAAAACTGTAACGAAGCGGGCAGTTCCCAGTGGTCGAACTTGTAGAGATCGACTTCGGCGATTATGGAGACCGGGAAGGATGGACGACGCCTTCTTGAGATGTTTGAGGGCTTGAATTGACCGCCTTTTGTTCTCTGCATGTTTTTTTTTTCCTTCTGCCTACTCTAGGTTTGCTTGCTTCTACCGCAAAGATCCATCATTTTCATGGTTGTTGTTGGTGCCTTGGTGGTCATAAACTTACCATTGTTAATAATAACTAGGGGAGTTAACCCGCCCTTCACAGCGGCTTTGGATGGGTTTTTAGTTTCATTGTTTGCAAGCCTATGTACATTAGATTGGGGAAAACCCCTCAATTGACAGCTAATCTTTTTATCCCACAACAGTCTCTCTCTCTCTCTCTCTCTCTCTCTCTCGTACAGATAAAAAAATCTAGCCCTTTATCAATATATCCATTCATCTCTATTCCACCATCAATTGGGAAACCCCCTCAAAAAACAAAAGATGAAATTGAAAGATAGCTTTCCTTGGATATTCTTGACCCAAACTAATCCGTTGAATCCAATTCCACCTACATGTTTTCTGCTCCTTCAATATGGCTCGAGCAAAGATGAATATAAAATAGGAGGTCTAAGTCCATACTTTCATCTCCTTCCATCCCATCCTTTCATCAAAATTTTAGGTTTCGGTATTAATCTTATCTTTTCAGTTTTGCGGACTGGAAGAAAATCCTCAATGAGGCTGCCATGACATACATGTCGTCCTCAAAGTCAGATTTGTTCTTGCATAAGTCTAATAGTGTGTAAGCGCTCGGAAGACATCTTCTCCTTTTTGGTGGTGGGGATTATATATCATTCTGGGTATTACTCATTTGGATTGTAATCTTTCTCACAACATTTCAATTCGGTGTTTTCATGGCGATGATGCGAGTTGTACTTCAATCCAGTTCAGGAAATTGTATAGGAATAGTCTCTTTTCCTTCTTTCATTTTGCTCCGGAGATGTGTCAGCGCAGTTGTGCTTTAGGGATTGATGTGGGCAATTTTTTATGAACCTTTTTATTATCCGGTATTCAAGTTTCTAGATCTGGAAAGCTTTGAGTTTTTAGCTTCGGATTTCGCATACTCTATGTTATCTGATAGCTCATTTGGAAGGGTTTCTTGCATGTTAAAGCTTTCTTCTCTATGGTGGGACCTTGTAAGTGAGGATATGAATCGGTTATATAACCACTCCACCGGGAAATAATACAAATAAGTTGGATAAATTATTTTAAACCAACCACCACCAGTATGTATAGAGC